AACTACCTGGACAAATATTCACTTGGGTGATATCCACAATGACTTGGTGGAAACTCCTGGGCCATTCACAGCAGAAAAGATGAAAACCTCCAAGAGTCTCGATGTGTTGTTGAACTTGTTGGAGTCCACGGTTTGTTAGGATCTTCTACGTTTGCTCTGTGAATGTTTGAAAGTCGTTTAATTCACCGTTAGTGGTTCTTTTCACTCAGAATACGAAAAAGACATTTTCCTTCTTCCCTGCTTCTATTTGTGCATCCGATAATGCAGCAGGAATTGACCATTATCGGGGATAAATACGCGAGGTTACGCACTGTGTTTGACCACTATCCTGTTTCTTGCCTCCCACCAAAATATTTCCCAGCATGCAACACGGGCTTTTAATAACAATGACGTCAGCTGAAACTCGCCTATTGACAGAATGTTCAGGAGTTACCATGGAGATGCCATGCACACATTAGCAACCGGTGTCAAAAAAGTTTTGAGATGGTCTGAAAACTCAAGGAAAAATACAAAATAGGATCAAAGTGCACATTTTCAGGAGCCTAAGATGAGACCGAGTGTTCATGATCCTGTTTAGAGATTTGTGTTTCAACAAAAAGATGCGAGTGACTGATTGAAAAAACTGTCTGGAAATACTACCTTGTGACTGTAATGTTATTTGAGAGGGACATGTTTAATAATACACATCAGCTCATCTGTTGGAGTTCAAACTAAACCAGCTCTTTCTTGTCAGATTGTGTCAAAGCTCAGATTCAAGTCTAATAAAGCCGCAGACAGAGCAGTGCTTACAGTTAACATCCCAGGGAATATTGATGATGTCAGTTGGTGGTTTGCCTAAAATGGAGCTGAAATATCCTGTCATGTATGATTAAAGATGCACTGTGTAACATTTCTGGTGAGGGGTGAGCCTGCTGTTTGCCTCTGTGCAGATGTTCTTCACGTCTTTGGAGTCAGTGCGACTTCTAACATCGGTCTGACATTTATTTCATTCTGAGTGGTTTAGTCAAAAATTCATTGAAAAATATATTTTTTCTGCTGGTTTGAATCCCGCTCTCAACATAAAGACATCGTTGGTGGAGCAGTCAGATCCACCGACCCACAAGCTGGAGCTGTAATTCCAATAATTCCAGCAGATGAAAGCAGTGGATGTGTCCTTGGAGGAAACTGTACCTAAGTCTATGATCTACCAATACTTTACTACTGTAATCACTACACTGTGTGCACAATTATTATGCAGCTGGGTATGTTGTGTATTCTCCAACTCCAAGCGGTATAAACTTGAATTCTTCTTGGGTTTAAGCAAATGTGTATGATGTGTATTTATTTAATGAGGGCGGGTGTGGCCTAGAGCGATCGACACTCTGTATCAAGGTGTGCAGAATTATTAGGCAGCTTCTTTTCCTCAGAAAAATTGACAAAAAGGGAGCTGTAAAGTCAAAAATTGGAAAAAGTCTTTCAGAGGGATGCAGCACTATTGAAATAGCAAAGATATTGGGGCATGATCACAGATGCATCAAAGGTTTTGTTGCAAATGGTCAACAGTGTCTCAAGAAATATGTTAAGAAAAAAGATGCAAATGAACTGAAAAAGATTTGAGAAGAATGAAACATGAAGCTACCAGGAACCCATTATCCTCCCTGGAATGCCCAGATGACGTCTGTGTTGGTATTTGAAGCACTAACCTTCAGATCAGCGGACAAACACTCTGCTCGACTAACTGAGCTACCAAAACTTCACTTTTACTTTCTTAAATATTAAGATTTGAGGTTTATTAAACTTTTGGACTGACTGAGAGTACTCTAGTGGTTCACTTATAAAATGAATCCTCATAAATGGGCCTGGTCAAGCAGAAGTAAACACAAGGCCAAAAATTCAAGTTAATGCATCTGATATAAAAATGTATTGAACAGATACATATGTACTCTAGTTTATGAAACTGTTGACCTTTTTTCTGTACCATTTTTGGTTCTAAAGTTCCATATGTTTTAAACAGACCATGTATGAAACATGGAACAAAAATTATTTCCCAAATTTCAAAGACCTGCAAATCATGTCAATAAATGGATGTATTTCATCATATCTTGTGTTATTCCATCTTTGAACTGTTGATGAAGGTACAGGATTAAAAAAAAAAAAAAAAAAAAAAGTATTTAAAATGATAAAAATGTTCTTGGAAGGACTGACATATTTTATAGAAATAGTTTCCTTTCATTTTGAAGTAATATTAAAGTATTCAGAAGAAAAAACTGACAAATGATGTAAAATCCTGCACCTTCTACTTGTTTGTACAATTTTCCCTCCGTTACTTTTCCCTCTGTTACCATGACCTTTCTTCATAAAAAATCTCATGACTCAAAAGAGGTTTTTCAACCTAATCTTGTACCATATGGTAGAAAACTATATGAAGCAAATATTCAAACCAGTTTGTTAAGGATATGGAAGTGAGAACCAAGAGTTATCACTGTTTGGATTTATTGCCCAAAAAGTGCTGCATATTTCATTCCCTCCGTTACCGACATGAGTTTTTAAATTTTTTGTCAACAACTTGAAAGAATATCACAGGTTTAACTTGACCCTGTTGGAGTGTAACTCTTTCCTACATTCTGATACTTTACTTATTTCAATAGTCCCTCTAGTTTCTGAATAAGAGACATTTGAATGTCAAAAATCTGCCCCTGTTTCCCTCCATTAGCACTTGACCAGACCCAAATACAACTTGACAAATACTATTCCCTGGTTCTTAAAGCAAAACTCTTTTACTGATGGGTGGTGTCAGGAAGCTCATGTCAAAATCAATATGCAAACAAATACATACTTGCCACAGATGCTTTACAACTGGACTAATTAATGCCAAAGCTAATAAAAGAATAGTGTTTTATTTTGAAAATCCAGTTTGTGCACTTTAAAGTCCACGTGTGCTTTTATTTTTTAAACTGTTCCTGTCTTTAGCAGCAGGAGGCGTCCAGTCATTTCACTGCATCAACAAACAGTGATGGTTCTGGCTGATCTCTGCTCGGCACACATGTTTCCTACTCCCTCGAGGGTCCTTAAATGCAGCACATGTGGAGTCCTGATCGCTCTGGGGTCCTTGAACACGTCACACATGGATTTGAACAGTATTTATGTATTTGTTTATGTGAGCTGCGAGGGGCTACTGTTGGACTTAAACATGTGTGAGTGGCTCCAGCGCTCCGAGCTCTGCAGGAGAGCTGGCTCTGCTCTGAGAGCCTTTAAAACTACTGCAGCTCAACAACTAATGTGCAAACAATACTCTCTATATGAAACACAACTGACATTCTATATGGATTTATTTGTTTAAAGATGCAGTTTTCCACATTCTAGTGTTATACAAATCTAGCTTGCATTTCCTCATGTATGGGAGTTCGAAAAACATCCATTCTTACTGTGAGCAGGATCGCCTTTCCACAGACCTGACCTATAACTTGACCTAGTGGTGCCCCTTGCTTGTGTTGATAGAGATGTTTAATGCCATACTGTGGAAAATTCTATTAACAGGAATAACATTTCCACAGAGACAAGCAGGTGACAGACCCTCCAGCACAGAAGTAACAATGCACCTTTAAGGTACCATTTATTGTCCCCGTAGTGAAATTTGTCCTCTGCATTTGACCCGTCCTTCAATATCACTGCAGCCTCTCCTCAGTGGGTGTGGTCCTGCACCCGGGACCCTTCATCTGTGCTCTTATTGCTAATCTTGGTCAGAACTACTTATCTGGTGGATGATCTATTGTCCCCAGAGGAAACCCACCCAGACACAGGCAGAACATGCAAACTCCACACAGACCCAGGGATTATGAGCTCTCAGCCACTATGCCTGCCTTTCATAACTGCATTTCAGTTGTGTTGTTGTTATAATTATCTTGACTCTTCCTGAAAATGTAATTCATGTTTTTCTACTCTAAAAATACAAGTTTTGCTCTCATGTTTTCATTTACAGTGAGGAAGGATCCTACAGAAAGAATGACAGCAAAACAAGGCACAGGAAAAGGCAAAGAGAAAACCCTCCACCAACATTCAGTCATTCCTCCACTCCTCCACAATCTGTCTGTTCAGGCACTGGTCACACCTGCCCTGGGCTGAAATGTGGCTGCCAGTTTGCACCATCACTCACTCAAACCACTATAACCACAATAATACAAATGCAGGATTGGCAAAGTGTCTTGCCCAAGGACACAATTGCAGACAGTATCCACTTCTTTTAGAATCATGCAGTTGTCTAAAATGGCATTTTGTATTTAGATCCTTTTCTGATTGTAAAATTCAAATGAGTGAATGAGCTGATACACTTTTATGCATGTTCCCTCCTCATAAACACACCTGGAGTTGTGTTTTGTTTCATTCTCAGGAGAAATTCAATTTGTTGACTGGACAAAATTTATTTGCAAATAAACGTTTGTCCAGTTGACAAATTGAATTTCTCCTTTGGCATGGATTCTATCTGGACAACTGAGAGATTTTTCACATGATGTCATGTAGTGTTAGTTTTCATATTAACAGTTTCTTTTAGTTCAGATGAGATTGGCAATTCCAGATCTGAAATTATCCAAATGACTGGTGAATGAAGGTGTGTGGAGTTCAAAAACATGGTGGAGCACTTTCTGTATTACCACATGACATCACAAGGTGGAACAGTTTTCAGTTTGAGAGAAGAACTCAGCCTAAATGTGCAGGATTTGTGTGTAAAATATGTGTGAATGAAACAAAACACAACTCCAGGTCTGTTTGTGATGAGAAAACTACATTATATCATAGATCAGAAAAAAGTGTAATATGAGCTCCTTAAACGAACAAAATCAAAAGGGTTAAAGGAAACATGCATATATTCAACAGAGCGTGACGACACCTGTGACTGTGACTATCACTTCTCCAACGCAGTATTATCTCTAACTTCACAAAACAACACAATTTCACAGCACCTGCTACACTTTTCATACGTACACTGATGAGTTAGTGAAAGTCTTCTGTGATTTCGGACTCACCTGTGAAGAGGCACGAGCACAGCAGCAGAGGAACGAGAGCTCTCTGATAATCCATCATGAAGTGTGAGGAAGTCTGAGGAACGCACCGCCAGATCAGAGGAGAGGAGAGAGGGAGGGGACAGGGAGGGGAGAGGGGGACATGAGCACGAGGGGGAGGAGTGAGAGGAGAGGAGAGGGACGGGGATCAGAGAAGAGAAAGAAGAAAGGGGGAGAAAAGGAGAGAGAGGGATAGAATTGACTAAATTTGAGGTTCACGTTATTCATTCTGGAAATGTGTTCTCTGTATTTGATCCATCTTTCACTGGCAGACGTGGGTAGTACTAAGTTACATGTACTTTTTGAAGAAGTGACTAGAGCAAAAGTTTTGGTTGTTGTTCCTCTTCACACTGTGAGTAAGTGACAAAAGTTTTATGTGGACAATATGAAATGATTGGAACATTTGTATTGCAGATATGATTTGTCTAATTTTTATGTCTGTCCTTTGAAAATACCAGATTTTGTAACTTATTTATTGCTCTTTTGTGCGTTACATTAACTTCAAATTTAAAATTAGATATTATATCCCGAAAACAAGAGTTTCCCCAGATACTTTTTACTCTTACTTGAGTTATTTATTGAAATTTGTACTTCTACTTGACTTTATCTTGAAGTAACCATACTCTTCTCTATCCTCTTCAGTTCACTGGAGCAGCCGGTCAGGATTTAAGTCTAAAGATGTTGGGTCAGGATTACCTAGCTGGAGTACTGACTATATTGGGAGAAATTGGTTAACTCAGCCACACTTTATTACTTTACTTTACTGTTTCTGAAGGATAATTCAAGTTTTGCAGCAGCAATATTTCCACTGTGAGTCTCAGTGTTCGAGTCTCAGTCAAAGGTCTCTGATCAGTTTAACAGGAGAACTGATCAGGGAGGGTGAGCAGATCGTATGGAAGAGCCACAAGTGTCCCTCCCTCCTCTGTGTCCTGCAGCATCACAGCAGCCTGCAGGGGGCGCCAGGAGAACACAACAGGAAAGACCTCACTCTTAGTCCACTCTGGTGTTTGGGTTGGTGATGAAATGGACTGATCCCTCAAAGTGTTTCCTCTGAAGGTCTGCTGCCACATTTGCAGCCACACACGGTGAAAAGCTAGTCAGGCTGGTGCCCCCTAGTGCCTCCACTCAATTTCATTTCTCTCCAGTGACTAGGTCAGGAATCAGAATACACTAGACGGTTTGCAAAAACCCCAGAAGTGTGAGTTTGGGCACCAGCCAATCAGTGAAGAGCCAGACATTCTGTGTTGGCAACGATTCCCGAGATCGAGGATTTAAAACCGGAACAAAGAGAATGTTTGGTGAATTTTATCAAAGGGAAAGACGTTATTGTCCTTCTTCCTACGGGATTTGGGAAAAGCTTAATATCCCTGTTAGCGGCGCATTACATACGTCATGACCAAACACCAGCGACTGGTTAAATGATAAAAGGTACTCACCTACCGTCGAGAGAACGAATCCTAATGCTGCGAGGTTTCTACGAAGTGAAACCGGCTGATGAATCAGGTTAGTGTAGCATCTCAAATGTCCATAACCTCTTTCACCGTCTCTATGGATACAGGAAAAACACTTCATTTCCCACAATCCAACAGTCGATTGTGTTCATTCCCTCACTGTATTTCTTCTGGAAGGTCTTCTGCCATATTTGGTTCCACACAGAAAAGCCATAACATGGGATTCAAACCTGTGACTCCCTGCTGTGATGTATTGAAACGGACTGCCTCCATTTCAATACATCAAAGATTTGCGACTGTTCTGCCTAACCTCCCCTTCCCCTCAGCATCATTTGAGCCTGTTCACTTTTCCTTTGGCTCCTTTTGTCTGCAGCATCAAAGTACACTGAATGAAACGCGCCCGTGCTGAACTTTGAAGGCACGGAGAGAATAGTGGAAAAATATGTGAACTCTAACATAAAAGTCCAAATAAAAGTGATGATAAAATGTTGAGGTCTCATGGTTGACTTGGAGCTGGGACAGGTGGAAGAAGAATCTATGGAAATACAAGTTTTACATGACGCCTACAACTGTTTTAAAGACAAACGTGGGACCTTCTTGCTGTGAGTAATACATCAATTCTGCAGGTGTTTCAAAACAAAATAAAGACTTTAGGAGTTTTATGGCCACATAGACTGTGTATATAAACAGACAGAGCATAAACTGTTAGCCGCAGCATTACAAATGGAAGTGAGTATGGGCGTGCTTCTGGCTCCATGGACTATGACTCCAATGCACTTTGTATAGAAAAAAACTTCTCTGTCTGTAACTACTGCTGTCAGGCTCCTCATTTATGGTCTTAAATTGTTCGTATTAACCGGCTCTACATGATCCCGGAACTCCAAATTTGCTCTGTAACTGCTTGCCTCTGTGAGCTTCATTTGACTAGAGCCGAACACTACGAGATAAACGTTAAAATCTCCAGATGCGTTCAATGCTCTCGTCCATGTTTGGACAACTTCCGTAAACACAGAGCACGCTCGCTGCGGTTGACGTCGTCGTGTCTCCAGTGCACATGTGGGACACTTTCAGGCTGTTTACTGTTCACACAGGGGATCACATACAAGTCACATTTATTTGGAAATGTGAACGACCTCGCAAAGACATCGGATTTCACAAAAAATTGGAATTGAGCGTTAAGCCCTGCAGTCTGAACGTAGCCTTAGTCCACGTCTATACAGTCTATGGATGGGAGGTATAGAGAACCTGCATGTGATGTCAAGGCCTTGCCCTGATCCACTCCGGTGGTCCGGTGAGCCAGACTGCCAGTAGACCGCCATTGTAAAGTTGGCACATTTTCGAGTCCTTCACATTAAGACACATCCCGGAAAAGTGTTGCCCACAGAAATAAAGACACAGGGGTTCATTTGTGTCGGATTCTGGTTGAAGCTGACAGATGAGACAAGTGGAGCTGTCATAAATCAGAGAATTCATGACCTGACCACAGACAAGCCAAGCCTGATTCATCAGACGGTTTCACTTAGTAGAAACCGTCTGACCTCACAGTGTTAGAATTCGCTCGCTCGGCAGTAGGCGGGTACTTTTTTTTAATTTAACCAATCGCTGCTATTTGGTCGTGACATATGTAATGTACCACTAACGGGGCTAACTGGGATATTAAGCTTTTCCCAAATCCTGTAGGAAGAAGGACAATAACATCTTTCGCCTTGATAAAATTCACCAAAACATTCTCTTTGTTCCGTCGATCTCAGGAATCATTGACAACACAGAATGTCTGGCTCTTTGCTGATTGGCTGGTGCCCATATTCCAGGGTTCTTGTAAAGGAAATTAAATTTAGCAGATGCACTGGGTGGTAGCAGCCTGGCTAAGACAATCCGACTAAAGGAGGTCAGTTGTAGCAGCCGTCAAAACCCTGCAGGCTTTGTAGTGAGCACTTGTCAGAGGTCAGTCATCATCAGTTACAATCGAATGAACATGTTACAAGGTTATTCTAGCTAACATGATGTAAGAAGAAATCAGTTATCTTTGTGGTTATCAAAGATATTTTCTTTGTGGGAAGATACCGCACCAGGGGGCCATAAACCCACCCTGAGGTCAGATATTTGTAGGCGTCTATACGGAAGTCGAGAGGGGTCACAACAAACGCAAACGCCGCAACAAATACAAACGCCACAACACAAATGCAAATGCTGCAACACATCAAAAAGCCCCAACACATCAAAAAGCCATAACACATTAAAAATCCACAACGGAAGTGACCGCGGGATTCTATTTTCCGACGGACCGATTAAGCTGCAAGTGAAGAAGAAGAACTACAACATGAAAAGTAAAGAAGTTGGAAACGTAAGTAAAAGTAATTTATTGTTTTATCATTATTTGTTTCACGTTGTAGTTCTTCTTCTTCACTTGCCGCTTGATCGGTCCGTCGGTCACTTCTGTTGTGGCTTTTTGCTGTGTTATGGCTTTTTAATGTGTTGTGGCTTTTTAATGTGTTGCGGCATTTGTGTTTGTGTTGTGGTGTTTGTATTTATTGCAGCGTTTGCATTAAAATAGAGTCCTGCGGTCATTTCCGTTGTGGCTTTTTTGGTTTGTTGTGGCTTTTTGTTGTGTTGTCGCATTTGTATTTGTTGCGGTGTTTGCGTTTGTTGTGACCCCTCTCGGCTTCCGTACGTCTAGTCTAGACTCTTGTAAGTCTTCAAACATGGTGAAATGCACTGAGAGGAGAAGTTGATTAAGTCGTTGTAAATGTCTACATATTATAAATCTGGCAATGCAGCTATTGTTTTAGGGGAGTAAACAGATCATCTGGAATTCAATATGGCTCTGAAATGTTGAACCTGTTTCATTTTACCTCGTACTTTAATTTATCGCTTGTGTCCAAGTGAGAAGTGCGCTCCAGGTGTTGAAATTCCATGTTACTAGAATGTTAGCTACTGTCACGGGACCGTCAATACAGAAGCTAAAACAAAAAGGTTCTCTATAGATAGTTGTGATAAAAGTCTGTGCTGCTGTGTGTTGAGAATAAGTTACTGCAATATTAGCTTCCTCCCTCTGAGCCATGTGTTTACTTGGACATGGATCCTCATATATTTTTAATAGAGAAGAAACAGAACAAAAACAACTCCATAATAATAAAGATGAGGTCAGTGAAGCTGGAGAATAAATAAAGACTAAAAATACAAATGTTGCCACCACAGTCTGAACATAAGACGGAGAAAGAGTCCAAAACATGAAACTAATGAATGCACTTTTATAAGTTTATGTGTCTCGTGTCTTTGGGTGTGAACCGACATCTGAGGCTTTCTCAAGGGAAGTGCGGCCATTTTAGAACTGGGTAATGGAACTGAGAAAGTCCTGAATTACTCATAACTTTAACTACTTTTGGATAAAGTCATATTCTGTATAACGTTTAGTAATGCATGGGAAACAAGTGAAAGTCTGCAGAAGTAGCCCGGTACTAAATTATAATAATGTATCTGATTTATATAGCACTTTTCTGGACACTCAAGTATATTTTATACAGTGCACAATGTGGGAATGTGGGTGAAGTGTCTTGCCTAAGGACACAACTACAGTTTCCACTCAGTATTCACAGAGATCTCCCATCCAAGAAATACCCAGGCCCAAATGTGTTTAGAGATTAGATGAGATGGATAATTGAGATGGATATTGTACACTGTATTTGATGGATCATTGTACTACTAGTAGAAATAGTTATAGTAGCAGTAGAAGAAGTAGTAGTTGCAGTAGTAGTAGTAGTAATAGTAGTAGTAGCAGTAGCAGTAGCAATATCAGTAAAAGTAGTAGTAGCAGCAGCAGCAACAGCAGTAGCAGTAGTAGTAATAGCAGCAGCAGCAGTAAAAGTAGTAGTAGTAGGAGGAGTAGTAGCAGTAGCAGTAGTAGAGGAAGCAGTAGTAACGGTAGTATTAGCAGCAGCAGCAGTAGTAGTAGTAGTGGTAGTAGTAGTAGTAGTAGTAGTAGTAGTAGTAGTAGTAGTAGTAGTAGTAGTAGTAGTAGTAGTAGTAGTAGTAGCAGCAGCAGTAGCAGTAGTAGTAGTAGTAATAGCAGCAGGAGCAGCAGTAAAAATAGTAGTAGTAGAAGTAGTAGTGATAGTAGTAATTGTAATAGTAGTAGTAGTAGTAGTGGTAGTAGTAGTAGTAGTAGTAGCAGTAGTAGTAGTAGTAGTAGTAGTAGTAGTAGTAGTAGTAGTAGTAGTAGCAGCAGCAGTAGTAGTAGTAGAAGTAGTAGTAGTAGTAGTAGTAGTAGTAGTAGCAGTAGTAGCAGCAGTAGCAGCAGTAGCAGCAGTAGTAGTAATAGCAGCAGCAGCAGCAGTAAAAGTAGTAGTAGTAGTAGTAGTAGTAGTAGTAGTAGTAGTAGTAGTAGTAGTAGTAGCAGCAGCAGTAGCAGTAGTAGTAGTAGTAATAGCAGCAGGAGCAGCAGTAAAAATAGTAGTAGTAGAAGTAGTAGTGATAGTAGTAATTGTAATAGTAGTAGTAGTAGTAGTAGTAGTAGTAGTAGTAGTAGTAGTAGTAGTAGTAGTAGTAGTAGTAGAAGCAGCAGTAGTAGTAGAAGTAGTAGTAGTAGTAGAAGTAGTAGTAGTAGTAGTAGTAGTAGTAGCAGTAGTAGCAGCAGTAGCAGCAGTAGCAGCAGCAGTAGTAATAGCAGCAGCAGCAGCAGTAAAAGTAGTAGTAGTAGAAGTAGTAGTGATAGTAGTAATTGTAATAGTAGTAGTAGTAGTAGTGGTAGTAGTAATAGCAGCAGCAGCAGTAACAGCAGTAGAGGAAGAAACAGTAACTGTAGTAGAAGCAGTAGTAGCAGCAGCAGTAAAAGTAGTAGTAGTAGTAGTAGTAGTAGTAGTAGTAGTAGTAGTAGTAGTAGTAGTAGTAATTGTAGTCGTAAAAACCTAAAATCCTTGTGTGTGCTGTGAGGTGGAAAAGCCCTGTTCCAGTCCCAGGGCAGACGGGGGGACACAGGGGGAGGAGATGGGGTACATGTGGGAAGGAGGGCAGGGGCACATATGGGAGAGTGGGGGCATGTGGGAGGGGGAGGTGGGGCAGGGGGAGATGGGGGTACATGTGGGAGCGTTTACCCAGCGTGTGCAGCTTTGGCCTGGGCTGCTCCTCTGGCTCTTCTCCAGAACTTGTATGAACCGTAATTATGATAAAAAGTGTCTTTGTTGAACATGAAAGAGCAGCAGCTCACACTTTATGGACAACAACACAATTAGGACGAGTCTTGTGTCTCGTTTTACTACTTTTCACTTCATTAACAACAAAGAATCTGCTGAAGAATGTCCATCTAACCAGAGGCTGCTGTTTACACATTCTAATATTATTATAAACTCACACTATGACATCCAAGCAATGTTCTTCAGTTCAAATAACTTGAATAAAAAGATTTTGTATTTGAATATATTTTAACTTCAAGAGTAATACATGCAAATGGAAATGGTCATGGCCACTTAAAAACTGAAACTTGTTTCCATGGAGATGTTATTGCATTACCTGGAATGTTCCATGGTGTGACTTTAAACATTTCCATCTTGGATTTATTCATTCACGGTGTTTCTATTGCTCAAAAATACAATAATTCCTTCTGTAAATAGGAGTATCTCTCCACAGATCTGACTTGTAATATAGCCTAGTGCTATGCTTTAATCGTCTTGTGTCCCTCAGGTGTAATATTTTTAATCTATACTTTTATACTATTATACTATTATACTAATCTATACTATTAACCCTATAAACAAAAATACAAGAGAGCTACCACTTTTAGAGGCTGCAAGAAATGATGCAGCTAAATGATATAAAAGTACAATGGTAATAGACATCTAATTAACAACATTTGAGTTATTCAGCATAATACATGTGATTCAGAAATCCCTTAGCGAGCTACTTGGACGAGGGTGGAGAGATACTGGTAGTTCCCGAGCTATAGGTTGGAAACCCCTGTTCTAGACAAAACAATAAGTTTACCATGGAGACAAGCAGTTGGAGACCTTCTACTAGAAATGTTACACACTGCACCATTAAATAAGCTTTTTGTTTAAAATTAATTTACGGCATGTCTTACTGGACAACAAAAAAGGCTTTGAGCTTGTCCCATACTGAGTTGAAACGCGTCCATAAGGATGCCTTAAAGGATAAAGCATTTTATTTGCCATAAAGATTTTTTGCATCTTTTTACTGACTTTTAAACCACTGACCTTGGATTTTATCCTCTTTTTTACTGACTTCCCTTCCCAAAGAGCAACTGAGTTGGATCTACTGTGCCTCCTTGAAATTTGAAGCTTTTAAGCTTTTTTCAAAAGGAATAGAACTGCACTTGAAAATACACTTGAAATGAGAGAAATTAACACTGGAAGCAAATTGTCAAATACCAATTGTCATAATATACTAATACATTTGATTGTATTTTGGAAAAATAAATTACTTACTTAACTCACCTTTTAGTCTATCAAGTTATTTTGGCAGTTACTTATATTAACTTGCATTCTTTTGGTAAGAAAATCACTTTAATGCATAATGCTAACTTACTAAATGTTTGCACGTCTCTGTAAAAAATCACTGCACTTGTGATTTTGTTATTAACATAAATAACTGAACAGAAACTAAAGAAAACCATGAACCTAAAGTAACCGTGATGTGATGAAACTGTAGTTGGTCTCATGTGTCTCTGTCTGTGCTGATGCTGCTCTCAGATTGGCCTCCACTCTCTGCAGCAAACTTCACCTTCCTCTGGCTCCTCTGAAAAACACACACACACGCACGCACACACGCACACACACACGCACACACACACACACGCACGACACACGCACACACGCACGCACACACACGCACACACGCACACACGCACACACACGCACACACGCACACACACGCACACACACACACACACACGCACACACACACACACGCACACACACGCACACACACACACGCGCACACACGCACACACACACATTATGACATTTTCTATACAACTATTACCATAAAAGTGTAGTATTAAGTAACAAATATGTTAGCTATACATGTGCAACAATTGATATTTTTACTCATCAAACATCTTATTTTTTATGAATGATGTAATACATGTAATACATTTTCTTATAGTAAACTACATTAGTCAAATTGTTTTCTAAATGTTACAAGAACAGACAAATGTGTCTGGGAGGACTGGACTGTACCATAAACTAAATGACTGAGTGATTGTGTCATAGACTGTACAAAGAGAAGGACCTGCTTGTCCCGGGACAGTGGTGGGTATCTGGAGATGTCGTCTCTGAGTCTGGTCGTCCTCTCCCAGTCCTGAAGCCACACTTGTCTTCTGTACTCCGACTGACGGGACGACAGACGACCATAGATGTCCAGATTCTGTCTCCCCACGATCTGCAGCTCCTGTCTGCGGCGCTCTGCATTCAGGCTGACCACACAGGAGACACGTACAAAAACTAGATTAAGACTTTGTCCTTATACCTTGTTCTGACCACTTTTGTCTCTAAATACTCCTGTACTGCGTCAATCCCAATCCCAATGCCTGACTCTGTGCACTCATAAATAAATAATGATTGATGTTTTATGTTTTATCTGTCTGTACCCCATCTAAGTCTTGCCATGGCTCTTATGTATACTTTCATTTCATTTATTTATTAATTTGTTTGAGCCAGGTACAACAAAATTCAAAAACAATAACAAAAATACTGATATGTACATGAACATAACCTATCCTATAAACATATCCACACATACATACATACATTCATATACATGTACACACATATGTACATACACATACATTCATATACATGTACACACATATGTACATACACACATACATATACATGTACACACATATGTACATACACACATACATATACATGTACACACATATGTACATACACACATACATATACATGTACACACATATGTACATACACACATACATATACATGTACACACATATGTACATACATACGTATAAGGATCATAGATATCCAGTACATATACTCAATATAAATGTTTATACACATATGCATAACATACATATACATACATGCAGACACATATTTACGTTTGTGGTCGTACTAACTAACAATAATGTTATCATAGGCACAACTTTATTTCCTGACACCGCTAAAATGAGTTGCTCTCTGGAATTTTTATTATGTAAAGGGAAAAGGGTTGGAGACTCCTGCTTTGGAGTCTTTAAATGTAGTTAATACGATTAACTGAGATTCAGGAGCAGGACCACGCCTCAGCCGCCCTCTCCTCTCACCAGCGAACCACAACTCACCTCGACCACGCCTCGAATTTCCCAGAAGCCTATATGTAGCAGCCTTTCCCATCATCCCAGTTTGTCTCGGCGAACTCGACCCCACCCTCCCATCCCCTATTTTGTCTTTCAGTCATAAGACCCCTACAGGGGGGGTCCCGTTCCGGCTGGGCCAATTGTAGATTGAGACGGAGCCTCCACCCGTAGTCTCAACCCAGCCATCTTTGCCTTGCTTCGTACATTATCAATAAACTTCTTCGCACTATGTCGTTGTTGGCGTGGTCCTAGCTACTGAAAACAGTTTTAAAACAGCTTTATAGTCCAAAATAATACAAAATAATACAACCCAAATGATGATGGCGGCACCCACAGCAACTTCTGGAATAAGGCCAATACAGTATACATTTTAGTGTGTGGTTGAGATTGCGTGTGTGTGGAGGATGAGGGAGCAGAGAGAACAACCACGGAGCACGAAGGCTGTAATGTAAAATTAAAATAAATCAATAAAATTAAAATAAATAAAAGACAACTTCTGAAATATGTAATTATGTGAAAATATTACCCAGGGTGCCCAGGAGTTGGCTTGTTTCATTCTGTGCAAAAACATGACTAATACTGATAACTAAAAAATAATGAACTTCACCCCCAATGATCCCAATTTCACACAAGCAGGTAGATGGTGGATGTGTTCTGTCCATGACCACAATATTATGCTAAAGCAGTTGAAAATGGAAAATGGATCCCTGTGAGCTTTTAGCCATGTTAGAATTTTGTTACCTCATCCTCCACACATGTTTGAGTAATCCTGCATTATTAGTCTATTTACAGCTGCCACAAGAAAAAACTGCTTCTTCTATGGAATTAGACTAACCTAAATCTTTTTATCAACTACCACGACTACTGTACCTAAAGTATACAACTTGTTTGCACAATTTTGGCTTTGTCAATTAAATAATCACAATATTGAGAGTAAAGTGGTATGTCGACACATGAGCTATGGTTTATAGACGTGCTGACATTGAACTGTCACAGGCATGGTCACTGAAACAATCCTGAAACATACTGTGGAGCAGAGCACAAGCCCAGCTCAGCCAATGTGTTAAAATGACCAGACTGTGAATCCACTAAAAACAGAACTAAGTAACTTCAGCGGTAGTGTTCCCCAACAGGTCACTTGTGAAAACGCACTGTCGTAAATATACTCCCCCTTCCCCACCTTCCCCACTGCTCAGTGAACGCTGTACACAACAGACTCATCTCAGGTGGGTAATGTTATTTTACTTTTTAAATAAATAATGGAATTCTAAATTCTCCTCGAAATTCCAAACAGGTTGATCCAACACAAATGCCTCACTGTTAAACACCTCAGGCTGATTTTACATCTGGGCTAAAGTTGTTTGTTGCTCCATTTACAGAATGACTGACAAGACTGACAACAAAAAACACGTCCAGCTGCTAAAACACAGAACATTACTCCTACATCCAGATGAAACATTAGTCAATTACAGGAATGACCCCGACGTGACACACGCTCTGATCCTGTTTCATACTGGATGTGTATGGAATCAATTTTGAATCAAATAGTTCAAAGAACACGTTTAAAACATCAAGCAAAATGTATAAATCAAAAAGAAAAAAAAAAAAGAAGAAAGAAAAATCAAACAAGAAATTTTAATTAAATAAAATTGATCCATCCATCCAATTCCTTCCACTTTATCTGGGGCTGGCTCGCGGAGGCAGCAGTCTGAGCAGTCTCCCAGACTTCCTCCACCCCAGACACTTCCTCCAGCTCCTCCGGTGGGACCCCGAGTTGTTCCTAAGCCAGCCAAGAGACATAGTCCCTCCAGCGTGTTCTGGGTCTTCCCCGGGGCCTCCTCCCAGTGGGACATGTCCGGGACATTTCCAGAGGCACAGATACCAGAGCCACCTCAGCCACTCTGCTTGAGGTGGAGGAGCAGCGGCTCTACTCCAAGCTCCTTCTGTGTGACTGAGCTCCTCACTCTATCTCTCAGGGAGCGCTCAGACACCCTGCGGAGGAAACACATTTCAGCCGCTTGTGTTGGCGATCTCATCCTTTCGGTCATTACCCAGAGCTCATGAGCACAGGTAAAGGGAGGAATGTAGATTGACGGTAAATCGAGAGCTCAGCTTCACCACAACTGATCGATACAGCGGCAGACTGCAGAAGCTGCACCGATCAGTCTGTCAATCTCACTCTCCATCCTCCCCTCACTCATGAACAAGACCCTGAGAAACTTGAACTCCTCCACTTGAGGCAAGGACTCTCCACCCAGATGTGGAGAGGGCAAGACACCTTTTTCAGTTTGAAAACCACGGCCTCGGACTTGGAGGAGCTGATCCTCATCCCAGCTGCTTCACACTCTGGTCAAAATTCCCCAGTGCTGCAGGTCATGGTCTGATGAAGCCAACAGGACAACATCATCTGCAAACAGCAGAGACGATCCTGTGGTCCCCAAACTGAACTCCCTCCAATCCAACTCCAATCCAACTTTATTTGTATAGTACATTTTATAAACAAGACAATTTCTAAAATGAGACTGCACAGCTGGTTCGCCTTGAGGTGGCTGATCCTGCAGTGCCCAGCCCAAACAGGTACATGCTGCTGCTGGGCCACCCCCTGAGCCTAAACGGACTTTTTCAATGGGACAAACCAGGTGTGGAAGATCAGACCCTATGAGAATCAAAGCCCCTATGCAGAACTATCAACCAGCCTTTACTTCTCTCTTGCCTGACGTAGAGCGATTCTGCTGAAGCTCTGTGAGGAGCTGTCAGTGGCTGACTCTTCTGACTCTGTGATGCGTTGTTTCTTTCAGCTTTGTTTCATTTCAGGCTGCAAAGCCACTGTCATATCATTTGTTCATTCCCATGTAGTCCAGATTTTTTTTCAGACAGAGGGTAGGTGGACTGTTAATGGGCCGCTGCGTTGTAAATGCTCCAGGTAGACTTCAGACCCCCACTCCATCCATGACCACTGAACAACATTTACAACTCTGAACTTTTCTTTACAATTTTAAAAAAAAATAAAAATTTTGTTCTGCCGAACAAGACAAATGCTTTAGAGAGAAGAAGAAGTTTTGAGAGGGGAGTTAAAGAGGCCATTTTTGTTAGGAAAGACAATCCATCTTTGAACAAACAAGGAGGGCTCAGATCATCTGTGTCCCATTTACAAGTCCATCTCCAGACCTACATCAAGACAAACAAAACAACAGGGATAGGCTGCATGCTACTAGGTGTGTTTAACAGGTTTTTATACCAGATTCACCCTCAGAACCAGACACATTACTGGGACTGGAGTCAATAATGCCAGTGAAGTGTCTTGCCCTATGAGCACATCAGTTTGTGTTTTGGTGAGCTTTGACTTTCAAAATATTTGATAAATGCACAATCCAGTAGAACTTTTGAGTAATATACTGACTTCAGTAAAAGCTCTGGTTACTCCTGAGTGACAGAAGCTTCATGATGACAATATAAAATCATTTGAATATTTGTATTTCACGCACTAGGCCTGTTCCTGCACATATGGTTTAGCTCTTATATATACTGTATACTTTGAGATGCAGTTGCATTATTTCATGTTTTGTTACGTCATATAAATCCTTAAGTTGCATTTCCCCCCTACATGTTGTATGTAGTAAATCTTGGACCACTACAATGTACTTTTACATTAACTCACATCTGGTTGAGTAGTGACATGGACTAAGTGAGCGCTCGACTCCAGTCAAATGAAGCTCACAGAGGCCGGCAGATATAGGAGCCAAGAGTGAATTGGAGCCTGACTAAAAGTGGGGAGTGAGCCATGGGACAATGTGCAGGTAAATGTAAATGAAACATACAGTATGTCACATCTCCATGTATAATTCAGCACATAATGAGCAGAGCCGTGCACATACATTATTCAAGTGTTGAATTCAGACACAAGACAATGTGGACTTCAATCAGGAGTCTGGAAAGGTGAACTCAGAGGAGGGGTTGCTGTGAATCCTCTGCTCTAACTGACCTTCTCCTCCACATCCTCTCATCTCTTCAGCAATGAGTTTTACAATGCTTCATAGATGGATGGACTGATGGATAAAAAATGAAGACTGCAGTGCTGTGTTGTCAATATCATAAAAAACTATTCACAACAGCAGAACAGTCGAAGAGTCCAAATGGTCCAACAAGGAACTGTCCTCTTCCACTATCCATACACCTCCTTTCAAAATTCCAGTAGATTGTTGCAGTACTATAGACCAATCATATTTAATACAGATGGGGGCAGCTATAATTAATATAATTTAAATGCAGATTTGCATTGTAATACATTGGATTCTTGGGTCTAGTCACTAATAGAAATGATCAGGTTCAACATTTATGGATTTACTTTTTCAATATTTCTTATGAAAGTACAATGTAATCAATAAGAAAAACTCCCATACTCAAGTAGGACATACTGTATTTTTTTGGACTATAAGTGGCTCCGGAGTATAAGTCGCACCAGCCAAAAAATGTGTAATGAAGAAGAAAAAACATATATAAGTCGCAGTGGACTATAGTCACCTTTTGGGGGGAAATTTATTTTATGAAATCAGAGACCAGGAACCGACATTTCATGTTGAAAGTCAAGTTCTAGTAAAAACAGAATAAAGAACAACAGACTTAAAAGGTGTCTGTTATGTTCACTTAACATATTAACAGTTATTCAGTTAAATATAGCATAAACATTGGAACCTAACAAGTTCACCAAACTCTCCATCTCACTCCACATCACTAAATAAATTCATTGAATCCAGTGAATTCAAGTTTCTCGCTCACTCCAAACTTTCTTTCTGCTGCTCGATTACCGTTTTCTGCTGCATATTTCATAACTTGCAGAAGGACAGCGGCTTTTTCTGCAGGAGATATGCGAAGAAAACTGACACACAAGCCTAGAGCGCCCTCTTGTGGCTGTCAGTCTGAAAAATGTTATATATACAAGTCGAACCAGAGTATAAGTTTTATTATATTACTGCTATTTTGATACTATGAAAAATACTTCATACCCAAAAGGTCATATTCAGTTATTTGTATATTTTATCAATGATAATAAAATAAAATGAAATAAATCTAATTTTGATTTACGTTTTAATAGTTTTTTAGTTTTAGTATAGGTTATTATCGAGGTATCAGTACTTTTGACAACCCTGTAAACTTTCTTTCATATTACCATGTGGTCTTACTAATTCTGATATAGATAAAAAAGGTCAGATTTAGTTCTTTTGTCCAGTATTTTTGACAGCCTTCCCTCTTTCCTAATCCCATTCTGGACCTAACCAAAGAGCACAGAGGCAGGCACACTTCACCTCTTGATGTGGTAGTGGTTGCAGTGGTCCACCAGGCCCCTGGAGCAGATGATGGAGGTCAGTCTGGAGGCCAGCAGACGGTTGTCTCTGTCGATGATGGACAGACGCTCGTCCTGAAGCTGCACACACACCAAAACTATGAAAAACACAAGTATAAAAGCTAGAACGCTAAAAACTTTTGAAACACCTTTAGGATTTAATACTATCATACTTTAAGGTCCATCACATTAGATTTAAACATAAATATGGTTGACAATGAAAAAATGTAATAAAAACAGCATTATCTTTAATATTATATTATTGAACAGTTCATTCAAAGTATTGTCCACAGATACAAGCTTTTTGTAGACCCTCCACGAGAAAAGTTATAGTAAACCTGAGTATTAAAACTGTATTAAAAGCACTTCAAATCAGAAACAATTGCAGCTTTAAGATCACATTTCTAATTGCTGAAGAAATTAGAATTTTTGTGGTTTGGGGTTGCATTGTTAATGTCACTTCGAGGAAACTCTTTAAAGATAAGCAATGTTAGAATGTATCCTGATTCATCAGCTGGTTTCACTTCGTAGAAACCTCGCAGCATTAGAATTCGTTCGCTTGATGGTAGGCAGGTATTTTTTTATGTTCTGGGCTATTAGTCACTCTGGATTATAAGACGCACTGTCATTAAATGGTCTATTTTCGAACTTTTTTCACAAATAAACCGCCCTGGACTTTAAAGGAAACACAACAGTGTGATGGGTGAGTAGTTTTGTTTGTTCGTTCACGGTGACTCTGGGCTTTGTTCAGTTGTGGCGTGTAGGGAGGGTGCTGTCTGGGACCAACAGATTGTCGGCGTGTTCACAGTGACTCAGTTGTTCAGTTGTGTCTAGAAGTGGCACATTGCACTCACTTTTTCGGTTCGTTCCTCCGTTCCGTTCCTCATCGGCGTGGAGTGACGAGTGTGTCTGTGGGTGTTTTTCGCTGTGCGGCCGCTGTCTGCTCCGTGTGTGTTTGTGTGTTCTGCGGGTGGTGAGGCTTTGTAGTTTACTGAAGTCGTGCTGGGACACTCGAGTGGATTCGTGTATAGGGCGCTCTGGATTATAGGGCGCTGTCGTTTTTTGATGGGGTTGGAGGCTTAAGAGCACATCTAACAGCCCGGAAAATACGGTATTTTACCAATCGCTGCTGTTTGGTCATGACATATGTAATGCTCCACTAATGGGGATAACTGGTATATTAACCTTTTCTCAAATCCCATAGGAAGAAGGACAATAACATCTTTCCCCTTGATAAAATTCACCAAAAATTCTCTTTGTTCCGGCTTTAAATCCTCGATCTTGAGAACTGTTGCCAACACAGAACGTCTGGCTCTTCGCTGATTGGCTGCTGCCCGAACTCACACTACAAACCCGGGGTTTTTGTGAATTGTCTAGTGTATTTTGATTCCTGACCTAGTCACTGGAGAGAAATGAAACTGAGCAGAGATTTAGAAGGGAGAAAAATGCAATGCTACCTGTAATATGTATAACTGCAAATAATAACATGAATAAAAATTTGATCACAAAAAAAGAAATCAAACTTATTCCTCATTTCCTCATTAAAAACATAGTGGAGTGTTTTGTTTCATTCATACATGTTTAAGCTCAAAATGCTTTGCTCCAGCTTGTGAGGTCATTAAATGGTAGTTTTCATGTTAACAGCTCCTTTTACCTTTAGTTCAATAGAGACTGGCAATTTTAGGGCTGAAATCATCCAGATCATTCCAGTGAAGCTGTATGAAGTTTAAAAACACAGTGGAGCACTTCCTGTATTCTCACATGACATCACAAGTTGGAACAATTTTCAGTTTGAGAGAAGAACTCAGTCTAAATGTGCAGGTTTGTGTGTTAAACATGAGTGAATGAAACAAAACACAACTCCAGGTGTGTTTGTGACAAGGAAACGACATTAGAACATAAACTAGCGTCATATCGGACCCTTAAAATATCTCCTTTAATCCACATAATTGTTGGATGTATGTTTTACCTGCAGTTTCTTGAGCTTGAGCTGTACGTGGCCTGGAGTTTTGGAGCCTTTCGTGTCCACCACAGGCAGAGCCGACGTCACCTGAACATTTAACATTGTATTTTTCATTAACAATAGAACTTAGAACATCTTAAAGGTGCATCGCGCAACTTTTCTGGTGGAGGGTCCGTCACCTGCTTGTGTCCATGAAGATGTTATTGCTTCGCCTGGAATATTCCACGATATAACATTAAACACATCTATCTAACATTTATTCATTATAGGTGTTTGTATTGCTCAAAACCCCAATAATTCTCTCTGTGAATAGGGTTGCCTCTCCCTAGATCTGACCTGTAATGTAGCCTATAGTTGTCTCCTTTGAAATAGATAGGCTTAATTTCTATCACGGAACATTCTAGACAAAGCAATGATGGACCCTCCGCCAGAAAAGTTACGCAATGCACCTTTTAGTAGGTTTCTCGTACGACTTCAGCAGGTTTTTGTGTTTTACTCATAAATACTTCGTCTGTTGGATCAGTACCTGTGGTGAATATTTCTAAGTTTTACATCAGTTAAGTGTAAGTTTGTGAAATTCAGCTTAAGAAGAAATGTAAGTCTACAAAAATACAGGAAGTAACACTGAATTTTTAAACAGAATACTTGTTATCAACACCAAATGCTCCATCAGAAATACACAAATAGTTTACGCACTTTTTAAGATATTTTTCTGACAGTACAACATTCATTTCACAAAGTAAAAGTGTTGTCAATTATTTTTACTGGTCCACTCATTATAAAACTATTGTGTAATTTAGACATTTTAGTATGTATAATTCATCTAAACATCACCAAAATGTAAAAACTTAAAAGAAACAATGTATGGTTTTAGTACATTTCCTTCTTACCTTCTTGCGATGGTTATCAAAATTCTCCTGGTCCCATTTCTGTTGCAGGTACCGGTTGGTGACAGGTTTCAGGGGCTGGTATGAGCGATGCATGTTTTGCTTCTCTCCGATCTACAGACAGTCTGAAACATGCCAATAGAATGTCCCTTTATCAATGAATGAAGCTTGTTTTGGAGTGCGGGGGTCGTCTCCATGGCAATGAACCCCTCTGTATCTGAATGCAAACAGATAAAGTTCACATGAATTATTACTGAGCAGGATATTTTAGCACCTCCAAAACTGTGGCACTGGGTTTAACACGCTGGACGGTGGTTAGAATTAGTAAATGTTTTTGTAAATGTAATTGCTTAAAGATAAAATGTATGAAATCTGTGAAATATTGAGTCCATTGGCTTGGAATCAGGCTTAATCAATGTTATAATTATTACTCATATCAAGCAACAAAACTATTGAATTGTGTGGTGATGTTATGTCTCTCTTTTTATTCTTTTTTATTTGTTGAATGGTCAATGCAGTTGCTTTATTTGATTTTTTTTGGAATTGCTCAAATGAAGAAAGGTAAGTCAGTGTAATGTGGTGCAAATATTAGCTATTATCGCCCTCTTGAGGCTGCCTGTGGAGTTGCAGAACATAATAAACATGAGACTTTTTTTTTTTTAACTAGTGGAATATAAAATGTATTTATATACCATTGGCTAAAGCCCATCGAAGCAATTATAGACAACTAATACACTCTTAACAGGCTATTTAGAGGCACAGTTGAGCTGTGTAGTAAGAGTAAGAAGGATCGCTTACTCATTTAGAAGCATTATACAATTTCCAACTAGAATAGAGGCTATTAAACTAATTCAATTCAATCATCTACGGGAATAGTTTTATTTGCATTTTACTGTAAAGGGGTGTATTATGTAAAATCAAATTTTATGAGCTTTTAAGCATGTTATAACCACTCGTACCACTCAACATTAGCTTACTCAGAGTTCAGTGTTGGGGAGTAACAGATTACATGTACCAGAGTTACGTAATCAGAGTACAAATTATGAGTAACTGTATTCAGTTACAGTTACTGTTTCAGTGAGTGGTCATTGGATTACAGTTACTTTGTTGAAATAAGTGGATTACACTGCGGTATTTTCCTGTTTTCACATTTTGGGCTATATCCAGGGCTATATTTTTTTCAGTTTCCACTCATTGCCAGAAACTAAACTAGATCTAAACTACATCTAAACCAGGTCTAAACCAGGACTAAAACCAGGACTAAACTAGTTCTAAACTAGATCTAAATCAGGTCTAAAACCAGGTCTAAACCAGGACTAAACCAGGAGTAAAACCAGGTCTAAACTAGATCTAAACCAGGACTAAACCAGGACTAAACCATCCTAGTCTTTGCTACTCTACAGCAAATCAAGTAATCCAAAGTATTCAGATTATGTTACTCACCTTGAGAAACTTAATGGATTACGTTACAAACTACATTTTGGGGTATGTAATCTGTAGGGGAATACATTTTAAAAATCACCTTCCCAACACTGTCAAAGTTATATTTGGGTATTCCTACATTGCTCTGAAAATTAGTGTTTTCACCTACCTCCCCTTCCTGGCTGGCTGGGGAATGCCTTGGGGTCCCCCTGGAGGAGCTGGAGGACATGTCTGGGGTGAGGGAAGTCTGGGAGTCCCTGCTTAGACTGCTGCCCCCGCGACCCTGCCCCGGATAAGCGGAAGAAAATGGATGGCTGGATGGATGGACCCCATATCTTTACACACTGCTCTGTATTTACTTTAAATTATTCTAAAGAATTCTAACTCCAGGTTAAGAGTCAAAAAGACACTGAATAACCATTTTTAACTATAAAAATACAGAAATGAAAGTTTGCAGCTTGATACTATAAAATGCCATCTCACAGTTCTGCAGTTTTGAACAGGAAGTCAATGTTTCTATCGTTAACTTGGTTTAGGTCAATATTGCTTTTTATCATAAACAGAAAGTCAAAGCTAAGCAATTTAAGTAAAGCTCACCCATCTTCTTTATGATCTCTTGTATATAGCTGAGATGTTTTTACATATTTTTCCATTTTATTTTGACTTATATATTACATTTGACTTATACAATATACATTTATATAAATTATCCCTTATTTGACACCTGTCTCTTGATATCTTTTTTTTTTTTTTTTTTTTTCTGGTAATTTATTAGTTCCATTTTTATTTATTATATTATGATGAGTGAGCTACTGTGTCCAGTTAATTTTACTTGTGGATCAATAAAGTTTAAGTCTAAGTGTGTTCGTGTGTGTGTGTATATGTGTGTCTGTATGTGTTTGTGTATGTGTATCCATGTGTGTGTTAGTGTGTATGCATATATGTGTTCGTGTGTGTGTGTATGCATGTGTGTGTATGTGTCTGTATATGTGTGTGTGTGTTAGTGCGTGTGTGTATGTATGTGTGTGTATGTGTCTGTATATGTGTGTGTGTTAGAGTGTATTATGTGAGTGTGTGTATGTGTGTATGTATGTATGTATGGAAGTGTGTGTGTGTGTGTGTGTGTGTGGTGTGTGTGTAGGGGTATGTTTGTCTGTGTGTGTGTATGTATGTATGTGTGTTTATGTGTGTGTGTATATGTGAGTGTGTATGTACGAGAGTGTGTGTGCAGGTATGTGTGTATGTGTGTGTTTGTGTGTGTGTGCCTGTGTTATTGTGTGTGTGTATATGTATGCCTGTGTATTTGTATGTGTGTGTGTTTGTGTGTATGTGTATATGTGAGTGTGTGTATGTATGTGAGTGTGTGTTAATGTGTGTGTGTGTGTGTGTGTGTATGTATGCATGTGAGTGTGTGTATGTATGTGAGTGTGTGTTAATGTGTGTGTGTGTGTGTGTGTGTGAGTGTGTGTATGTATGCATGTGAGTGTGTGTATGTGTGTTGTGTGTGTGCGCGTGCGTTCCTCTGACTCCATTCCAGTGCGCTCCTGACTCCGGATCCAGTGACTCCATAACTCCAGTCTCCGGGTTTTGCTCGCCATTTAGCCATCACGGATCTCCCTGTTTGTCTGTCCATGTAGCCGTCTGCGCCTCTCCAAACAAGGATATCGCTCTTTTAACAACTCACGGGATGCTACCTCCGGCTTTGACACACTAATACGCGCTTTATTTCAACCCGGAGGCGGTGAACGGACGCGGGGATCCGATGTTTGTCGCTTGTTTTGCCAGTTTTCCCGTAGATCCGACCGTGTGATGGCGATCATGGCTGCGCTCTAGTGAACTGGGAGCACGTTGACTTGCAGCTTGCACCGTTCAGATCTCCTCTTCTGGATCTTTTTATAAACAGTTTTACCCGGATTACTGTAACCTATGGAGTGCACATGAATGTTGGTCGGATAGGGATTTCTAACGGGGTGAGTAGCCGAGGTATGGTCGCAATTCCTGGTGGATTATGGGGCTGTATGTTTTTCAAACGCGGGTTAGCTTAGCAGGCTAGTTCTGCCTTTGTCTGCAGAGACCGGGGAGCTAAGGGATACGCTTCCATTATCGGACAAGGGGGCGTAAAGAAATTCTAATTCACTATATTTAACCACTGTAACTACCTGGATGAGTTTAAATAGCAAGGTTGATCACATTGGAAGATAATTTATAGCATTTCCTAGCCAGATGATGCAAACAAGTGCAGTACAACAAACGACAGAGCATACTGTAAATCCGGTTCTTTTTTACATCCAGTGTTGTAACAGTTAAAACACCGCTAGCCTCTGTCTTAAAATCCATTTATTTGCGTGTTTTATAGCTCGTTAACGTGAAATGATGTAATATAACACAGAATTTTTGTTACATACTTGATGCTACTTGTTTTGATTAATAGTAAGACTATGTAAATGAATAAATATGCATTAATAAGGATACATTTCTAAGTTAAACGTGTAGTATTAGTAGTAATAGTGGTAGTACTGGTAGTAGTAGTAGTAGCAGCCATGGTAGTAGCCCACAAACTAAAGCTATGAACTGTTGCTTAACTGTGAAGTGGGGAAAGACCTCAATGAATGAACAGTTACATAATTTAACTGTTACTGGGCAACACCGGTACAGAATTGGTAAAAATGACCAAAATAACAAAAAAAATTTTTTAAGATAGCTTATGTTTTTGATCACTATTTAACTTAAAATTGGTGAATTCTGTTATTTAGTCTTTGGAAATGTTAGTAACGAGATCATTCCATAGTAACTAACAAGTCCACCAACTACTTAAACCACTATTTCCTTTGCGTTTTTTTTCTGTTATAGTTCTATAAAATACAGTCTACATATTTTTTTCTCATCTATATCACATCTTTTTCAGTTTTGATCCTATATGCAATTAATTTTCAAGATGATAGTTTGGGTAAGCATTAATGTCTAATTAAGACAACGTTTTATTATCATTCTCATTCTTAAACACATATTCTAGAAATGTTGAATATTTTGTCCTACATTCCTTTATATTTTGGTAAATAATAATACCAGTTTATATAAACAAAATGGATACATCGTCTATCTTTATACAGTTCATGGTATATATTCTGTATTAATGACAAAACATCCATTTGGTTTGGTGTCTAAGATTTTTTAATCATATAACGTGTAAATTCTGGTAATATAGTTGTGTTTCAGCAAAATATTTCTAACATTTTAATTTTCTATCTGGCTTTTTTGCATTTGCCAAGTTGAATTGACTCCTTTACCATAGTGAGTAAGTAAGCGTGAAAACCAAATGCCTTATATTTGCATAAAAGTAGCGTACAATAAGAAAATCCCATGATCATGTCCGATAATGGGTTCACTCATGCCTTGGCTGGAGTGATTGGTGGCGCTGCATTGGCGAACAGTATTATCACTTTACAAATGAGCTGCTGTGTCTTCGTTTATAAAAAATAGCCGTGTAATAAATACCAAATAAGAATTATCTTATCTCTTATGTGTTTTACAATAGCAGGTAGTCATGTATAATGGCTGTATTGTGTCCAGAAGTGTGAGAAAGTTGTAGAGGGAATTGTGAAATCTAGAGAGCAACACCGCGTCCGATAATGGAACTCGTTAGCAGTATAGCGGGCCACAGCAGGCCTCGGTGTCTGGGTGAGAAAATGTCTCAAATACACGTATTTTTCACACTGTTGCACAATCTACGGGCATTTCTGTGAACCCAGTGTGCTTCTTTGCATGTCGCTGTTATTGCAATTAGCAGATATCGAGTGTTTCCGATGGTATTAGCTTGCTTGTTAGCGTTCGGCTAAAGGACACAGGGCCGAGAGCAACCGCCGCTAGAACGATTCGCCTATTTTAGCACCGCTCGTGTTTTTACATGTGTTTTTCCCAGTATTACCACTCGTATTTGAAATATACCTTGTTTTCCTCTATTATTTCTTCGCCCAATGTTTATTTGCGCTTTCATTTTGTATGTATTATAAAAATTGTGCCGCGTTAGCTTAAGTTAGCTCTAAGCTAATTCATGGAGCTCCTGTGCCAAAAAGTGACCCGCTCGTTTAAAACAGAAGAGGTTCTTTGAAAACACTGAAATGAGCCAGTTAGACTGTAATCATATTGATTTATAAATAAGTGATAGGATGGTGTTTTTTCCAAAGGAATTTGCTTTTCAGGCTGAATGTGGGGCCTTGCTCTGTTTTTGCATGTTGAAAAAAGGATTATTCTGAGGGAATCCCCTTGTTTAATTCATATATCATTTAGTATATAACGTTATTTGACATAAGAGAAACATACTTTGCTTCATATGGCTGTAGTTTTGGTACAAGCCTCTTGCTTTGTCTTCTCACTGTCACTGGCACCTCTCTTTTGCTTGTCTGTATAATTTCTTTTCAGAATCAGAGTGCATTAATATTTGTGGCTAAAATATATTTTTCTGAGTCCTACCATAAATAAAAGTACATTAAGTCTCCACAATTTTTGCGAAGTTGACATTTTGGCAGTTTGTCACGATAATTTCTGGCTTTATGAAGAAATCGTGGTATTTTTTCCATTTCCTTTTTAAAAATACTGTTAATTCACATATGAGGGAAATAAATTTTCTGGATTTGACCCATACTTAAATCGGTGCTACTGGGGCAACCTGTCAGCAGTAAACAGATCTGTAGATCTTGAGTTCTAGTCATACTCAGATTGGGAGTCAAACCTGCAGCCATCTAGCTGAGAGTGCTCCACACTCAGTCACATACTTTTGAAAGCTTTTGTGCTTTAAATATCGATTTCATTCAGTGTGTTCAATGTGTTATTTAACCACTCTACCTCAAGTCCAGTTACATGAAAAAGTGCTGCCGACTTGTTCCACAGTGGAAAGTCAGTGGTCACAGAGGAGTGCCTGAACTCTGTGACCTGTGAGACAAAGGTCAGTTACATTATCTCCCACACAGAAGCAGCATGATTTTTATTTATTTTTTTACACAATCTTGACAGTTTTCACAATTTCACTGGAAGTATCAAAAAGTTTAAAAGCTTTTATATTGATTTAGTTCCATTTAGTTCCACGGCATGCCCCATCTGCCCAGCTCAGCTTTTTTAACATTAAACCTAAACCCACAGATTCTCCGGTCCTGTCCGTTCCTTTAGACTGTAGCCCCGGTGTAGTGATGACAGATGATGCGGTGTCGGCGTTAAACTGGTATTTGGCAGAGTCGCCAAATACCAGTCTGAGTTTGAGTCGCCCTCAGACTGAACCTGAACTCAAAGATAAAGGCCATAAACTGTCAGTGTAGAGCAACACTTCACAGGATTTCAC